TGTGTGTCCTGAGTCTGTGAGGCTCCCCTCGGACTATTCTGAGACTCGTGCTTCCACCCCAGGAGCGGACCCCCAGACAGGAGGGAAAGTGCCCACACCCTGTAGCCCTGTTGAGCGTGGCCCTAGAGGGAAAGGGCCCCCGTGGTCATCCACAGCAGGATGGGTGAGCGACGCCATGTCTGTGGGGAAGCGGGAAGAGATGCTGGGCCACAAGGCAACACGGCTGCATCTCCCAACATAAGGGTGGGAAAGAAGCCAAACGAAAGAGGAACGCCACACGATTCGTGCAGATGGAGTTCGTTTACAGCAAAAGGAAATCTATAGTAGTGGAGGGAAAACAGGCTCCCTCTGGGGGTGGCTACTGGCTGCCTGTGGGACTGAGGGGCCTGCTGGGGCACGTCTTTCTTTACGGCTGGTTTCAGGTGTACACACAAGTGAAGATGCACCCAGCTGCAAACTTCAGATTTGTTCCTTGTACTGTATGAATGTTGAGGCTCAAAAAGAACATGAAAGTGTCCATAAAAGCAAGTGATTCTTACACACAAGCCAGGTCTACCTGTACTTGTTAGGTTTAAACAGAGACTAGTCCGCACAGAGCTGCAGGAAAGCCCAGGAGGAAAGAGCAATTCTGTGCAGGGCTTGCCACTGCTTCTCAGCTGCCATGGGAAGGAACTGATGGTGGCCTGAAGTCCTGGGGAGAAGCTTGCTGGTGACCCCAGGGAATGGGCGGAGAGTGAGGGCCACAGCAGGCTCCCCTGTGCCCATGGCCCAGTTGGGGGCTTTGGTTAGCTCTGCAAGGGTTCTGGGAGCTGTGGCAGGGAGGAGGCTGTGAGGACACCCTGCTGACCTCTCTGGGCTTGTATGTGCCACGACAGTCACCTCAAACTCAACACACCCCAAACCAAACTCATCCTCTTTCTCTGAAAGTAAGATCTTCCGACTTGCTCATTTCTGTTGTTGGTCATTCCATTCTCACAATTACCTTCATTTGACTCCCTGGGAATTATCTGGCTCCTCTTTTCTTTTCTAAATAGTGTTTGAGCCTTTCCAATGTATCTACAGTCCATTTGTTTATTTATTCTGCAGTAATCTAGCCTTGTGTAAAACAAAACAGCACAGTAACAAGTAATATTATTTACCTCTGTCTTTGTGCTGGGCACTGGGTAAAACACTGTGCATGCATTATTTCATTTAATCTTTGCAAAAATCCATAAAGCAGGTAAGATATATTTCCATTTTACACATAAGCAAATCCACTGTGGGAAAGTTAAACCTGTTCTGTCTGACTTTAAGGCTTTGATGAGTTCCTCTACACATTGGCTGGCTGTGACCCTGGGTGGTCTTAGGCATCTTTATTTTATTTTTTTGAGATAGGGTCTTGCTCTCTTTGCTCAAGTGATCCTCTTGCATCAGCCTCCCTAGTAGCTGGAACTATAGGTCTATATAAACCGTGCCTGGCTTCAGCTTCTTTATATCAGCAGCTACTAGCACATTCTTTTTATAGACAGCACCCAATAACAAGACTCCAAATGGACAGAATTTAGCAGAGTTTATGGCTAAAGAAGAACTATCTGCTCCAACTGGGTGAGACATCCAGGTAACTGAGAATATATTTCGTGTTGTTTCTACAATGCTGTCAGTGAAGGACCACCCTCACAGGATAGGCCTGGCCTTGACCTCCTCTCTGACATGGGGCTTCTGCTCACAGTCAGGGGCAGGAAGGGGTGACAGGAGGTAAGGAGCACATGAAAGACTGCATAACAGCTTCAAATTCTAACCACAACATACACTGTGCTGTCATACCTTCGCCTGGGGGTGGGGGTGGGGGTGACAGACATTTCAGTGCACCCTGAGATGGAAAACTCACAACTGTTTTGCAAACAATTGTCATTCGTGGTCTTAAAATATCTGAGTTTGGCACATGTTTCTGAACACTGCCTGCACTCCCATAATCAAGATGTGGCGGGGCTGTGGCCTGCGGGTAACATAAAACCCGACTTGCAAATATTATTAGGCACATGGACCAGCTGTCTGGAGAAGCTGATTAATCCCTGGTAAAAGCTTCAGCATGCAGCACACATGCCATCTGCAGAGCACACCAGCAGATACACACAGGCCCTTTCTGCCTCCTGAAGAGGCCGGGGTAGAGCAGACCCTCAGGAGGAAATTGATAAATAGCTGGGTTGTCCCAGTACCGAAAAAAGAAAGTCTCTCCAATCCCCACACACATGCACATTAGAAGGAGCCCCTTAAAAACTTTGCCATAAAATAAAGGGGGAAAGGGACTTACGACTAATCCTTTCCATTTCTACTTTCTATTCTTTTAATCACTGTCTTACGCATAGCTTAAAAGGATGAATGCAGTAAGTCGAGCCCTACTGGCTCTGCCATTTTAATTGCTGTGTGACTTTGCACAAAGGACTTAACCCCTCTGAATCTATTTCTGTTGCTCTGCTCCAGGTTCCTCAGCCTTTCCCTTGCAGTCTGGGCATGGAGGTATTCCCTACATGCCCCTGTTCTTCCTTTCCCTCAGCTGCAGGAGAGCATTTCTTTTGTTCTCTGGAAATCCTGGAGCTTCTCTGGCTTTACTTTTTGCCCCCAGTTCAGTTCTCCAGTTCTTTTGGATTCTTTTTACTTATCTCTTTCTAGAATTTGAAGTTGTTTAGGACAGGAATGAAAGAAGGAAAAAAGTGTTCTAAGTGTTCAGGGAAGGATGGAACCTTCCATTTGGAGATTATGTTAAGGGAATGTGGAACAAAGGGGTTGAGGCTGGGCTTTGTGAAGGACTTCAGAGGGCTGTGAGACAGTGGGGCTGAGGAAGGGCAGGAAGGCATCGGGGCAGAGACATGGGAGGAAGGCTGTGGAGTCAAGGCTGAGCGCAGGAGCTCTGGGCCCCCTCCAGAGCAGAGCAGCCTGATGGAAAGGAAGTGGTGAAGGGCGCCAATCACCCAGGGCCACATCCTGAGGAACTTCACCTGGTGGAACGACTCTTGAACTAACTACTCAGGCCCTATCCACAGCACTCTGCCAGCATATATGCTTTCCTGGTCCTGAACCTTCTCATTTTTTGATGGTTTGAAAGTGTTAAACACAAACTGTGGAGTCTAAAGTCTGGTTAAAGGGAAGAAACAGCTCTGGCCTTGGGACTCCATTCAGTCCCAGGAGCCTACCCTTTACTAAACCACGTATCCAGGTCCCCCCGTCCTTCCAGCTGAGGGGCTCACTCAGGACTAGCTCTCAGATGATGGTCGCTCCGAGCATCCCTCAGCTCACCTTACCTAAAAAACATGCCCACATTCCTCTCTGCCCTGCCAGTGCCAATCAAGGCTACGGGTGTCTTTGATGAGAGATACGGCGCACCATCTGTGTGACGCTCACTGTGCGGGCATTTGGCTCCAGGACAAGACCTGCTGTGTGCTGGGGAAATTCAAATAGCTGAGCTATCTGACCCACATGTAACTTAGCATTTGGACAGTCTCTGTACCAGCCAGGGTCTTAGTTTAACATTTTCCCTTATCAGTTGAGACTGCTGAAAACATTTCCATCCTCAGAGTCAAATAAAGAGAGGAGGAAATTGGCATGAAGAATGAAAAGGAAGCAGGGTGCGGTGGTGCACACCTGTAATCCCAACAGCTCAGGAGACTGAGGCAGGAGGATTGTGAATTTGAAGCCAGCTTCAGCAATGTAGCAAGGCTCAGTGAGATCTTGTCTCTAAATAACAATAATAATAATAAAAAAATTGCTAGGGATGTGGCTCAGTGGCTAAGTGCCCCTGAGTTCAATCCCCAGGACCAAAAAAAAAAAAAAAAAAAAAAAAAACCAGAAGGAGAAGAAGGAAAGGAAGAACTATGAAATTCAGCAGAAAGCATCACCTTAGTATAACATATTCCAGGCACTGCCCAGCCTTGCACAGAATGACCAGGCTTTGGCTAACGATGGCAATGCAAGCTGCCCCTTCCCCAGTTACAAGCATGATCATCTACACAGGAGCCTTCATCTGATTGCAAATTGTCCACTTAATTCCACACATTTTCCTGGTGTGTGCTTAGGTGAAAATTGGGACAACAGAAAATATCCCTGGGATCTCCTTCCTGGCATCTGGTGCTCTAATAGCACCTGAAATGCTGCCCCACTGATGTGGCTGCTGGTTTGGGATGTATTTTGCTTAAAGGTTGATTTCCATGAATTTTTGCAGGGGGCAGGGGAGGCAAATGATGAAAGAAGATGGGGCTTTTTGAGGGACTATGATGTTACCTTCCATAGTCCCTCCAGCCCTCCTTTCTACCCTTGCTCCATAAGGATTCAGGACTAAGCTCCTTTGACCTCTGGCTTCTGCCTGGGCCTGCAGGGGACCTGAAGCTGGTATTAATGCCCTAGTATCCCTGCTACCTCTCTACCAGGAGGCTCTCTCTCTCTGACCTCTGCTGCCACTTCCTGCCTCTTGCCTCTCAGGCCCTGGCTCTGCTGCTGTTACTAGCTCCAAGGCACCTCACCAGACCTTGTTGGTTTTCCTAAATCCTTCCTTTTCCTTTTTAAAAGACACAATTTTATTAAGTTCTCCACTTTGAGTATGCTTCCTGTTTTCTGCTCAGATTTAGATCGGTTGAGGAATGAGCTAGCTTCCTGTTTTCTGCTCAGATTTAGATCGGTTGAGGAATGAGCTATAACTTGACTGACCCCTTGGCTTCCCATAGCCCTCTTTCTCAGAAAGCACAGTCTCCTGGGCTTGGATGCTGTGAGGATGGTGGCATGAACCAGGAAGACCAAAGGAGTGGACATCTACTGACTGAAAAGCAATATCTCATCCATCTACTGATCCCACTGCAATCTCCCACCAGCAGAGCTATCAAATTCCTGCCAGATCAAAGAGAAAAATAATCCAGTTTGAGGATGACCTTTCAAATATGTTCTGCAGGAAAGGATGGTAAAAAGGAAGGGTTGTGCAGGAAGTGAGTGTTTGTAAAGTTGCAATCAGGAGCCACTGTCATCTGAATGCCCACCTTGTCTCGCTGTGTACTCGTTGTCTTCAATCAACCGGGCCAATCCAAAGTCAGCAATCTTGCAAATTAGTCCATTCCCTACTAGAATGTTTGCTGACCGCAGATCTCTGTGGATATAATTCATGCGCTCAATGTAAGCCATTCCTGCAGCAACCTGTGGAACCCAGGAGGAGGCACGTGAGTTACACCACAATGCAATGTACTTACACGTCGCTACATCCACCACAAGAACCAAGTCCCCTGGGCCTACCTGTGCTGCCATGTCCACAAGATTTGGTAATTTCAGAGCTCTTCCTTCACCGTCTTTTAAGAAATCAAGTAAACTTCCTATGAACAAAACATAAAACCATTTCAGTTTACACTGAAAGACAGAGTTCTTGATGGAGGGCTGTATTTGGTTTTACTGTAAGTAAATGGCAGTTGATTGGAATGATGCCCTCAAGGGAAAAAAAGTTTATATATATAAACTAGGGTGGAAAAAATTCTATGCATTGAGAAGCAGGTTTTACCTTTTAAAAACAAACAGCAATGATTTGATTTCTAAGGCAACAAAAATGTGATAAAGAAGAAAGGGAACTCAATCTCCCTTAATGTCACAAAGAGGGATACATGAGGAACTGTACCCCTGCATGCTTATATTCCAATCAGCTCTGCACAAAAGAGTGATGTGGGGGAAATGCAGTCCAGCTGAGAAGTCTAAAACCATGGTCCTGGGATCAGCAGCAATGGTATCACCAGGAAAACTTGCTAGAAATGCAAATTCTCAGGACCTGTCCCAGATGTAGCAAATCAGAAATTCTGAACTCTGGGCCTAAAAAACCTATGCTGAGATTCACTGGCCTATCTTATGTATAGATTTTAAATCCGGAAAAGAATATATGAGGAACATGGGTGGAGCAGGTAGCTCCGCCTAGTGAGATCACAGCTGGCCAAGCCTTAAAGCAGACATCTGAAACAAAATAGCTGGCGCTTCAGAGCTGCTATTGTAACTCAGCCTGGGGAAGCCCAGAATTAACACTAAGGAAGAAATAATCATTTGCAGAAGCTAGAATTCATGATGGCCATCAGTGATTTTTTTTAATGCTTTAATCACAAAGTTATTTACAAAATAACCCTGGATACAAAGGACAAACAATCTGCCAGGAAAAAATTCCAATTGTATTTTAAAAGAAACTACGTGGAAGAGAAAAATTACACTGGTGTCCTCTGTTGTACAATGCATAGCCTTTTATGGCTGTTTCTTGTTTGATTCATCTGTTTTTCCAAAACAAAGTGATCTCTGGCCTTATCCCTAGCAATGCTGGTTTGATTATAAAGACACACACACACACACACACACACACACACACACACACACACACAAAATGGGGGGGTTATGGAGAAAGAGGGGGAATAAAATACATGCCATTTCTTCGTCTGTTATTTAAGTGGAGAACTGGGGGAAAAAAATATGTTGAAATGGTGGAAATTAAACTTAGCCCAGATAAGATTTCTAGTTTTTGGGGGTATGTATGATGCTGGGGATCAAATCCAGATCCTTATGCTTGTGAGGCAAGCACTCTACCAATTGAGCTATATCCTCATCCCCAGATAAGATATTTATCGTTTAGACCTACAAAAAGGAAATTTAACAGAAGCTGCTGCATGCAAAATCACTGTAAATTATCATAGTCTCTACATCACTCCTGATATTAAAGTGAATGCTTTAATTATGGAGAAGAACTTCAATTACTGACATGTGCAACACACAAAAGGCACTGCATTTCACAAAGATTTGGGGGCAAACTTAAGGTTAGTCGGTTTTAAAAATATTTTAAGCACACAACTCGTGTTTCCTGGCCAGAATACTAGATCATGCAAAAATCAGGGAAAAAAACAAAAAAAGGCAGATCCATTTTCCTCTCTAAGACAGCCCCTGGAAGTAACTGGGAGCTGGAGAAGTGTTGCCGACCTTTATTCATATACTCGGTGACGATGTAGATGGGTTCTTCAGACACCACGGCGTACAGCTGGACCAACTTGTCATGCTTCAACTTCTTCATGATCTGCGCTTCCTCAAGGAATGATTCGGGGGACATTGTGCCTGGTTTAAGAGTCTTTATGGCTACTTTTGTGTTTCCATTCCAGGTACCTACAAACATCCCACAATATTAAGTCAAATTCAAAATCCTCTTCTGATGGCAAAAAAAAAAAAAACCAAAAACAGAGTTTTTGACTAATAGCTACATGCATAAAGTTAGATTTTAAGTTTTTAAAAAAACCTCATTGTTTTTGTGATAAAGTCAATTGCAAGGATTCAGTCAAGTATTTTAACAAAGAAATGAGTTTTTTTTTTTTTTTTTTAGTGGCGATGGATATATTAAATTATTTATTTATTTATTTTTATTTTGTTGCATAGTATTTACTTTTTTTTTCACTTGGGCATATGATTACAAATATATACCAAAGCTCTGGACTCTTGTTTACAGTAATAAAAGTCCAGGGTTTAAAACAGTCTAAGCCATCCAATAGCCATCCTTGAGTTCATAGAGAAACATGGAAAAAAATCTGGTTAAGTTCCATTTTATGGGTGCGCCATTAAAAAAATGTGGTAATACACTGAGGGTGCTTGGAAACTGACTTGAGACAGACTTTTGACTGTCTGCAATAGATGAGCTACTTGACTGAGTCCTGGAACTACTGAGCCAAGCATGCACAAAAGCATTGGCAAGGAGCTGAAGTTCTCCTTGCCAATACTTTCTCAGGTAAGACAAATTCCTCAGGTATACTGATGGTCAGCCACAACAAGAGTGATGGTTTATATCCAGAATACTAGGGAACTTAAACAGCAGCTAACAAGGAACAGAAATACTTAAGCTTCCCATGTTAAAAACTAGCTGATCCAAAGCCTGGTTATGATTGAGATCCGTTACCTCATCTGTAAAACACAAGTATGGTACTGGATTATCTTTTGAGTGTCTTTCAGCTCCCAAATTAAAAAATAAAACAAAATGCTGGGTTTTATGTGTATTCCATTGTTAGTCCTAAGGCTTTGAAGGGTAATTTTATAAAGGGAAAAGAAAAATCTGCTATTTTAGATTGCTATTCTCTATTGGAAAGACAGGTTTATATTAAGATTTATTTTTGTATTTAATCTATGACTTTAGGATCTAAGAATTCTGTAAATTGGGACAATTCTCCTTATCCTGTTATAAACATGGTTCATATAATTATAACATGAGACTTAAAAAATCTCATAAAATATTTACCAGTAAGTATTAATGGAAAACTTGACAATTTGTAAGTGCTCTTTGAGATTTACATGCTAGCACCCCTAAATTTAAGTAAAGTGAGATCTTCCTCTCTAATAACACCTGGGAAACTATAGATGCATCCATTCCAATTATGATGACATGCTGTTTTATGTTTCATGGGCAAGAAAATCTTAGTGGTCTGAGTACTGACTTATTGTTGATAATTATAAAATTTAAAAATAAAATTTCTTATAGGATCCAATTAGGACCCATAACTCCAATTGTGAATTGGGTATATAAGGGAGAAGATCATATAAATTTGTCTTAGAATAGTTGAGATAGAGTCCAGAGAGAGATGGATACAATAATAAGGGTTCCCAGTGACTTGGAAGAGGGATATATGGATGGATAATAGAAACACACATCTGTTTATGTCCGAGCGTATTTCTACTATTCATCTGTCTATCCAAGTATGTATATCTGTATAGTACTTACTATTTGCCAAGTCTTGTTTTATCTACATTAACTTTTTTTTTTGTTTTTTTTTGGCGAGGCGGTAGTCGGGATTGAAGCCAGGGGTGCTCAACTACGAAGCCACATCCTCAGCCCTTTTTTATCTTCCTGTCTTAGCTTCCCAAGTCACTGGGATGACAGGTGTGTACCACCAAGCCTGGATGCATTGACTTTTAAAATGCAGATTAAAAAGACCTGAATTGCACATAGCCACAGGTATCTATTTATATCATTTTTAACAGATTCTAAGGAAGGAGGAAGAAGGATTCTCTAATCTTTAATCGTGTTTTACCTATAGTCATTTTTGGATGAGGTGTAAGTACATGGATAAGCAAAACTGCAACTGACCCAAAGGAATTATAAAAGCAATTTCTAGGGTCCAGTGCATTTGGCTTAATCAATGGCAACCAAACAGAAGTAGGCATGTCTACTGAACACATACTATCTGCAAGGGATTTTAAACATATTGCTCCAAGTAATACTCCCAACAATCATACACATGTAGTAGATATCACTCTGATTTTACAGATGAGAAAACTTAGGCTCAAAGATGTTAAATAAGCCCCTTGTTTGTTTTAGTCAGCTCGTCAGGAATCAAACTCAGGCCTTGTAAGTAAAAAAAAAAAAAAAAAAAAAAAAATTCTTCCTTTATAGCCATATGTATAATCTTACCTTTCCATTTTTTAGAAAACCACCACATTTACAGTGTGTTGATTTCCTGTTCTGCAGGTGTTTAACCACAAGAAGTAGAACAGGTGAGAACTGCAAGGTATCATCATCATGTCCTGAAAATCAGGATGGCCTGTGTCCATCTAGTTATTCACGTTGTCACTGTCCCAGTGACTATATATACGTTTTTGTTCAACACTGTCTTTTCAATGGCTTGAGATACAGCCAAAACAAAATGCACCCTCTGCCTTACCAAGCCATACTTCTGCGAAACACCCCTGACCCAGCTTCGTATCCAGAAACAAGGTGTCACGTGCAACTTCCCAAGCATCTTTAGCCAATCCAGAAGTTTGTGGGGCACAACTCGATGAAATCACAGTTAAGTTAAAACACAAACCATCAGCTTTCTCTACAGGAAAGGGAATTAATAAAGAAAACACAGTCCTTATAATCCATAATCATGCATGCACTAGGAAAGATGGAAGGTGACTTGCCCTTTAGGGCGACATTCAACAAATATTTGCAGCTGGAAATGAAGGGCAAGATATTTTATGCAGGCTGGAACATTTCCTCTACTGTTTATTGGTTTATGAAATGAGGTTCATATAAGAGTACCAATTGAGCCATCTGTCAGCCTCGTCCATTTATTGTCTCTTTTCTAGAAATTCCAGAATCTTGAAGTTAAAATAAATAAAAAAAGGATTCCTTATGAAGAGTAATTCTTTCTTGTCATAAAGTCTTTATTCTCACCTTCCATCTTTGCGGTTTGGGATTTCCCAAACGAGGAAGCTAATAAGAGAGTAATTGAATCTCAGCATACCCATCCATACTTCCCCAAACTGCCCATTTCCCAGTCTCTTGATCAACTGCAGGGATTCTCGAGGGATTTCCCAGACATCTTTGGTTTTGACAGACAGATCAGTAAGCCTTGGCATCCCTTTGTGACAAGGAACTACTAGGCGGCAGCAGAGACCTGCGGCTCTCTCTGATGCAGGAGCAGGGGCAGCGGCAGAGTGGGAGAGAAGAGCAGAACACATGTAACAACAACACGCACAGATGCAAACCCACACTTGCTGTCGCCCAGGGGAGCTTGGACAGGGCTGCTCAGCACAGAACGGCACACACCTTGGAGGATCCAAAGCCACACCGTGAAACATTCTCATTGCAGATAGGACAGGGGACATACTAAATTTGAACTATTCCGTGCCCCCAGGTGTGATATAGTCTATATAGAGATAGAGACAAACTGTTTTGGTCTCTATACTCACAAGTAAGAAAATCACTGTCAGCCTAAAGTGCTCATAACGTGTCTTCTGGGATCCTGAAAATCCTCTCCCTGATTTCAAAGAGGACATTTAGACTAACGAATGTTGGCATGACCATCTCTTTCCCTCACTAGTATCTAGATTACCTAGGGGACTGGAGGGCTCTCTGGTACAAGTACATTTAAAATCTTAACTTCAGTATGAGATCCTCCCATAGAGGATCTAGCAAGGCTGAAGGCTGCCCCTGGCAGAGGAAAGCATGCCACATGTCCAGAGATTTCAGACTCCATTCTACCAGTCAAATATACTTGCACTGCTTCTATGCTGTTGTTTATTTTTAAAAAACTTTTATAACAGTCTTTTCTGTATAAGTTAGGAGTATGGATTGAAAGGAGAAAGAATGGAAAAACTAACATTCACAGAAACTGAATGATGTGAAAGAGGAGGGAAACAGTAACTATATCACTCAGATGTTACTGGGAGCTCTTTCCTCCCTTCTTTCTTTTTAAAAAGGAAAAACCTTTTAGGATCTAGCAATGTTGAGGGGAAACTGACAAAACACCATGTTAAAAATCAGTCAGGTGAGACGAGGCAGCACAGAATAAGAACTTGGGGAAGGACAAGAACTATACAGAGCCCCTCCCATCCCCCCGGAAGCCTCTCAGATCCAGGAAAAGCAAACATGGTGTTGATTTTTCTCTGAAATCTAACTGTAACTTTCTACTCCTTTCTTTTTGATGGAATCAGGTTCTGAGATATTTAGGCAGGAAATTATTTATGTGTCAATATTTCGAAGGCATTTTATGTGTGAAGAGGAAGGAGAAGAAAAGCCAATATAAAAACAAATCTAACTTGAGATGGATTTTTTTTCCCTGAGATTAAAAAATGTCTATTGTTCTTCATATCCCTTCTCTCCTTCCAGCTTTATGATGTTATTAAGGTGCCCTTTCCAATACAGTATTTTCAAATGATCCAAACCCTAGGGATCCTGCTGATGTTTCGCTGTAATGAAATATATTTCAGCATTTGAAATCCTTACAACATGCAGGCATTTTGAGTATATCACTTAAGCTCAGGGAGATATTCTGCTCCATTTCTCTCAAATATTTCATTAGAATCCACATAAACCAAGTTAGCCGAGGCCTGAATCAACTAGTACTCCAGGTGTTGTGAATTTTTTAAATTGCTCATTAGTGACCAGGATCAATATATAGATATTTCTTACAGTCATTTTCAAAAGATTGTTATTTCATGCTAAGAAATGTACTTTTCAATGAATGTGCATAGAGCAACAGCAGAGGTCAAATCATACTGTTCTGGAATCATGTCATTGTTGTGAAGAACGATACAAAATGCATACATGGGTCACATAAAAAACTCCAGGGCTCAATGAAATGTAGAGAAGTGCACATAGAGATGTGTAGATAGAGATCTGTACATGTATACCTATATCTATATCAGGTGAATGTACAAAATAGTGGGATCACTCACAAACCAAGGGAAGAAAGCATTTTAACAATTGCACATAAAAGCCACATTCTTGAATAAAATGCACAAGCTGCACACCTAAATACACCTAATAATTAAGAAAGAACAATAAATAAGGAAGAACAAAATAATGATGACACTTGGGTATTAGGACAGAGACTAATGTAATTTTGAAAAGTTCAGTGCAGTGGATGTAATAGGTCTAAGAACTGTGGGTCACGTAAGTACAAACCTAGTTACCCCATTAGGAGCACGGAATTTATGTGCAGGTGTCCCACAGCAGTTCTGAGTGTAAAATGACAGCAGGAACCCAATGCTCCCTGCTGTAGTTCCCATAAAAGTACCCTCCCAGCCACCACGCCCTCTTCTTTTCATAGTTCTAAGTTCCATAATAGAGGGAATGGGAAAAGGTAACTTGCAAGAATTTGAAAATGAAGTTGAACACACAGACAACTTTTAAGATTTAACCTACTACTTCTACTTGGGGAATTAGACTATTACAGAATCTACTGACAGGCATACGCAATCATAATAACAGCTCAAGGATGACAACCCCAGAGCCACTCAGAAACCCTCCTGTAAGGGGTTGGGGAGGAAAACTGGCTCTACCAGTGACTTTGTATACGGTTATCATTCCTTTCCCCTCTCCCACTCTCCCTTTGAGCTCTGCACCTCCCGCTCCCTTAGCTCCTGAATGGTTAGTAGGTAGTTAGAATCAAAGTTACCTGAGTAATGTTGTACAAGCTGCTGAAGTGTTTCAAACTGGGCCCGGGTGGTGATGTAATACCCGCCATTGTCAAGTTTGCGAATTTTATAATGTTTGACATGGTCTCCTTTCATATCATCCCAATCACGGATAGAAAGTGAATAGGCACCTGGCAAATGTGCAAAGCGTTAGCAGTGCCAATCATTTGTTTTTTACTTGACTATTGCAATTAATAGTTATTAAGGGAACATACACATATATCCATACACATGACATCTCCACTAAGTAACAGGAGAAAGACAACTTTTGGTGTCCTGCCAATGTCAAAAGATACTAACAAATAAAATGATTTTGCCCTGGAGCCTGGAAGCTTCCTGGATACTTTTCTAACATACTCAATTTGGTATGTAGTTTCATACCGAGCAGACCCCTTAGGCAAGATCAAGAGAAGAACAAGGACTCCCAGCCGAGCCTGCATCCCAGGGATCCTCTCCTATGAGGTATGGTAGAAGACAGGGAAAGTCTGCATAAAACAAACTGAAGGGCTATTTCTCTAGAAGTGAGCTTCAAAGTTCTGCTTCACAGCAGTTGACAGGAACAGATAAGCAGTATCCAAAAGACCAAACCTGAAGGCCACTACTTTTTCCCCCCTTGACCTATCTCCTCTTATGGGTTCTAATGAGTTGTTAAATAATAAAAAGGAAGAGAAGTCCTCAGTTATTAAAAAACAAAAACAAAAATAACAAAAATAAAAAGCAAAAAAAAAAAAAACCACGAAGAGGTCAAAAACAACTTGTATGACTGGCACCTGAGGAAAAAAAAAATCATAATTCTAAAAAACTTCTGAAACCTTGTGATCTGTGGGCCTGGAGCAAGAAAGCTGCCCAGCGCCTGCTTTCAGGAGGAAGTCTTGATTCTGATCCTCTGTAGTTCTTTTGGAGCGGTCTGCAGTTCTAGGGCCTAGAGGAAAAACTGAAAGCAGGACTCCATTCACAAGGCAGGGAGGATCTGTGCCATTTTAAAATCCTTGTACATTAGAGATAAGCCTTTCATCCCCTCTGACTAATCTGCAGATTTGAAGGACAAGCCAACTTCTTCAACTTGTTATCTTACCTTTGGTGGTTTCGCTCTCGCGGATAAGAAAGGTACCTCTTGGGTTTCCAAAGGACAAAAGCTGTCGCTCAGCATCTTTTCGGCCAAGTTTTCCAAAGTACCACCTTTAAGTGAAATCAAAGGAGAGAACATACTTAATGATGGTCATCTACAAGATGGACAGTGTGGTCTTTATTTCCCTATGAAGCCCCTCACCTGCAATTATACCCTTAGCCTTTTCCCATAATATATTTTTCTAGCTTTATGAAGTTCTCTTTTAATCTATTCCTGATTCTATCTCTACTCCATCTCTTTCACTCTCAAAAAGTCAGCTGTGAATTGTGACTTGTTTTCCTTCCTGCCAGGATGACAGGAACTGGCTTGTGTTAAAACTGCCACCTGTGTGCATGGAAAGAGAAATCTAAGACCTTGCTTTGAAATGGCAACTGCAGGAGATGCTTCCCACGCTCAGTTATGAGACCCTTGATTTTGGAGCATAATTACAACTCCTGGGAAATAACAAAACACAGACTTGGTGTATAGAAAGATTGTTAATCAAGCTTGATTTTATTTTATTTTTTAAAGAAAGTCACTTTGAAAGAATAAAGAATAAAAATGTATGATACTTCCAGTAACTTCCTACCTACAGGAACTCTGAAAAAAATTGTTAAGTCTGCCCCTGATTTAAGATGACTGCTGCCCTTGGACACTCATTTTGATTTTCTCTTCCTATAAAGCAGGTGTGAGGACTTGGATAAGTAGAAAGAAGGAGTCCACGGAACATCTGGTCTGTGATCTGCACAGGTCCCCTTTGGCACAGCTGCAGGGACAGTGACTGCACAGGGAGCATGTCCTTAAAGATGACTTGGTGACGTAGACATTTTAATACTCCCTGGGAACCAATTAATGACACTTCTGTGCCACTTTAGGAGGCACCACCTCAAGGCACGTCAGGACCTCAGTTTCTTGTCTTCTCTCTTCTCCCAGGACTCGCAAGCCCTCGCGCTGCCTGGCAATTAGTTCACATGTCAATGCTAGGTGCTGAAATAGCGGCGGGTGCTTCAAGAACCCAAGGGAGAATTCTGGAGCATTCCACGGGAATCCGTGCGTAGGAATAACTTTTCGAATATTTGACTGTGAAAGGACCCAGTTTTTAAAATGAAGTTTCAGCTCATTATACGTGAACACAGCTATTATGTATTCATTGTCAAATTCTTTTGTGAATGAGAGTGCTTCACTGAAGATAAGACACAGCACATGTGAGTTCCTCAGTGACTTCAGAGGTACCAAAGTGGGTGACAATCCTAGCACTAGTTGGTGTGAAGAATATCACACACCAATTATTTTTGAGAAATGTCTTTCTGAGTTTTTATCAATAACCCAATTAAAATGGTGTGTAAAACAGTGGTCAAAAGGGACTTGTTAGAACAATGGATTGCACCCGAACTGTAGTATTTTGAAATAATGCTAATTAATTGCACATGTAAAACCACAGTTTTTTTTTGTCTAAATTTGTTCTTTAAAAACAAAATGTTAAAAAACCTGACCATTAGAAATATACCTTAAATCTTTAGCCAGTAGGTTCCCAGTTAAATCAAAGTAACGCTACCTTTCAGTAGTCCTTTTTATTCTGAAAGAACACAAAGATGTTTGCAAATCTGCCCTAAAATCAAAATTCAATACAAATACCTTTGTTCACTGATGATGAAATACACTCATTAGAAGAAAAAAAAAAAAAAAAAACCAGCTCAGAACCACTGACTATTTGAGAGTGGAAAACAAAACAGATCTTCTTAGTAGAAGAGATACAAGGGAGTTAAAGCCAAGAGAACGATCCAATTGGGGATTTGGCTAGGGTATAGAGTTTAATCCTCCTTGCAGTGCTTAAACAAATCCACGGCAAAATTAAATATCAGAGCCAAAGGTTGGGCTCAGTGACTGACTTTCCTCCACTCCCTTTCTGGTGAGGCAAGTCCCCAAGGTGTTGGGGAGGAGGCCGAGTTCCCTGTGTGAGCAATCATGGCCCCACCTCCCTTCCTTCAGATCAGAAGCTATGGTTGGCACACTGCCACTCTGGCAGGTCTCCCTTTCACAACTGCCTGTTCACCTCCACAGGTCAGGAAAGAACAGTAGTCATCCCTCCTTCCACTGACCTTCAGCCTACTGACCATCTTCCTAAACTGCTACCGTTGGACTATTTAAGCCAAAAATTGTCATCATTTACTATCAGTAACTGGTCATTACTATCAGTGAAAACAATTGAGATCCCAGTCAAAGGAAAGAAATATTTTAAATCCATCATCCTCCCAAGCTATGGGACATACTGTATGTGAGATGCATGGAAGGTATATCTTTTCAGCACTCTTTTAATAGTTCTGATTACATTGAGAAGAAAAAAAAATCTTGGTTTAATCTTTAATAATTCCTTGTGTCTCCCTGTCCCAGGAAGCAGACTATAGGCCAACATATATTACTGGCAATAATATATGCTGTGGCTAGAATTTTGTCCTATTTTTATGGTTATTTAAAAATCTATGAGTTATAGTGGGTTTTCATTTAGGGGACAGACATAAGGTTTCCTTTCAAAATAGACGTAACCTAAAAAGTGGGCAGGCTTAAAGGAAAAAATTAAGTTAATAATAATACAAGTATTAGGTAGCTATGACAAAAACCAGGGCATAAAGTGTTACCATATTCTCTCAAGGCTTAATCCCTGTGGTGAAGTTCTTCTCCATCCTGCACAAAGTCAATGGCATTTTATTCTGGCAACTCTTTAAAGCAAGTAGTTAAGTGAAATAAAACAAAAACCAAAACATACTCTTCTGCCTGGATAGAGTCAACTGGAGCCACATAGTTGCTGGGAATGTACCCCGTCTCTCCAGTTGTCAAGGAACGGGCTTCCCACCAATCTCCTTCCCTGTGAAGAAAAAAGAGGGAAGTGAATATGTTGCCCATTTCAACATTTTGCAGGTAGACCTGATGATGTAAGAAGCCTATCACCTAGTCCTTGTGTCACCCGCTTTCTCCAGCCTCACTCCTTTTCTCTAAACTCCCACATAGCTCCTACCCTTGAAAGTGTGATAGTTTACCATCTCAATCACCTATGGGTGGAAACCTGTGTTCTCCTGCCTTATTTGTGAATTAAGAAAGCAGGGCTCAGGGGTAAGGGTGAAGCTCAGCTTGTCTAGAGTGCACAAGGCCCTAGGGTTAATCCCCAGCACACAGGCACACACACAAATAAATAAAATGAAAAATAAATATAATAAAAATGAATGTAGGATCTAGTCATGAGACGGCTCTTTTGTGTGTGTGTTGGGGGGCACATTTTGCCTGTGAAGAGACACAGCTGGAGAGAGGGAAGGGAACCCAGCCTCAGCCCACTCTAGAAAAGCATTTCAGCTGCGGATGGTCTGGGGAGGGAAGACTATGAGGAGGTCTCGTCTCTGCTCCATGCGTGCTCTGGATACCTGTCTTGCCCACCCTCTAGGAAATGAGGAGATGCATCTTTCTACACGTAGAATGATCAAGACTGCAATAGAACAGGTCTTCCCCAGGCATTTTCAGTTTTAGGTTATTCCATCAAATATTCACGGTCCTGGGTGGGTGAGGGCTGCTGGACGCAGCCGTGGGCACATGCAGGCAAAGTGCAATACTTCTAGGGAGTGAGATTTTTAGTCATATCAGTTTGTTTCTCACCGTTGTGGGGAACAAACTGATATTCTAGGAGCTCTCAGAGGACATTACTATTAGCTTAGAGTCACCGAGTAAATGAAGCAGTTTAAGTTCATATGCTTAAATTCACACAGGTTTACAGGAGACTAAGAACAGGGATGGAGTGTGTGCCTCTTCCCATCAACAGTAGGTGAGCTGGGTGTGGCCACGCCTGTAATCGCAGTAGCTCAGGAGGCTGAGGTAGGACGATCCCAGGTTCGAGGTCAGCCTGGGTGTCTTAGTGATACCCTGTCTCAAAATAAAAAGTAAAAAGGGATGGGCATGTAGCCCAGTGGTAGAGTGGCCCTGGATTCAATCCCTAGTACTGCAAAATGAATAAACAATGCATGGGTGACAGGCCATGTGTGTGGGCTGCATCTCGGACTGGAAGAGTGTCCCCCCACTAGCCTGCAGTCAAGCAGGTGAGGGTAGAAGGGGACATGACTGCCTGTGAGTACATCAGACCTCTCAGACTGACCATCAGAGGTCCAGCACCTTCTCTTCATCTTTTTTTGATCCTTGAAGACAGCAAGAGAAACCGTAGGTCTTTTTTTTTTTTTTTTTTTTTTTTTAACTTTTGGCTGGGCTTTGTGTCAAAGCTCTCTTAGGAAAGAACGTGTTTTGGTTTTGAGCTGGGGTAAAGATCTTCCCCAGACTGACTTAGGTAGAAACTAACCAGCCTCCATATTAGACCCGAGTCTTCCTTCAGTGTTCTCTAAAGATGAACCCCTAAGCACAAGCCAAGCCAGGTACAGATGTGGGAAAGTGTTTGCATAAATTATAGAATAGCTCGTGGAAAACCAGGGTGCTGCCAAGGATTTCGAAAACGAATCTTTTAATTAGTTTCTCAATCTCTCTTTTTAAACCCTGTTAAACACATAGATGAATCAAAAGAGGGAGATTGTGGTTCTCACATCCAGAAACTCCTTTAAAGTTATAACCAGCTCATGTCCAGATTTTTATTATGAAATTTTTATACATATCAAAGAATATGTGAACTCACTGCCCAACTGAAGAACTGGAGATTATTACCAAGTGTGTGGACTCTACACCACGCAACTTCTCTGTGTGATGTATCCCTGTCTTTGAATGTATACAGTTATAAGCCTATCACCTAAGAACATATGCAGAAATTTGTTTTCTTCTTTCAATATCTGATGGATAAAGAAATGGCTTCTGGAGATAGTCTTCCTTCTAATATAGTGACAACGTATACTGCTCTGAAATTCCACTAGATGGAGACATTTCATCACAAAAAACAAACAACACCCATCATCCCCGCCCCTGCCCCCCCCCCCATTCTTCAACCTGGGAAATGCTCCAAAATGGCGAGGAAAAAATTAAGTGCTTGTAGCACAGGCTTATTTTTCAATACACCACAACTTTCATCAGGTTAGTTCTAATAGTATTAAATTAAGGGGGGAAAAAAGCTAGCATCAATATCAGGGTTATGTGGGAATGTCAATGGGTGCAGGAAGCTAATATATTTCACTGCAAATTGGGAGAAGCCCAGTCTTATTCAGGTGATTTGGCAATAATGAAGTAATTTCCAATTCAGATTCAGCATTAACTATCTCATTTTGGTCTAGGCACCTAAATAGTTTAGAATAGATTAGAATCCAACTATTGGCTCATTTGAAAGCCATATATGAAGAGTTTATGACTTCCTTATGTGACCCCATTAATCTCACAAGGGCTTTCAGTTACTCAGAAGAAAGATACCATCTTTGATTTCTCTGTTTCTAGACCATTAGGGTCACTTTCACCACCATGAGGTGACAAGACTCAATGTATGTGAAACGAGCCTCACATTTTTTATTACGTTTGCTTCATGATTATTCACATTGGGCCCAAAGGGTCTGGTACAGATTCAGTAACGTCTATCAGGAGTTATGTGAATAAATACAATTCACCTACAAATAAATAATATACTCCACAAGTTGCATTTGATTTAGGAGAACAGGATCTCTCACACAGTATTTTTATTTCTTTAATTGGGTTATTTTGGGCAACTGGCATTATTAAAGCTGCATTTCTTTAAACTATTTTTACAGTTCAGTTTTTTTTTTCCAATTTATTCACACTTGGTGAGCTATTCTTTAATGGTTATATTGTTTTGATTCAAATGTATTACTTAAACCTGGTGCTGGCTTCTAACTTTTTATAACAACCCACCAGTTCCTCTGGTTTAAGAATTTATTTAAAAAGTCTATTCCCCAATCCCCAAAGATGCTAACAGGACTTGTCCTAGGATCTGGGAGCCCAGGTACCTTGGAGCCCTGATGGAGTCAGGAATCGGTATTTGCCAACACCAGTCAGTGGGATCTGCCCAGCCATTGAGTATTTTTATTACAAATGCTGGATTCTTTCTAAATTTGGTCATTCCCCATCTTGCTTCCAGAGGACATAATAATTTTATCAAATGTTTGGGCGGGGTGGCTCTAAACCAGGATTTCTTCTGATCACTACATAAAACACTGGCAAAGGGGCCCTAGGCAATGACCACTACTTTACTCTGTGTAAAATATTATACATATTTTAAAGAGTCATTGTTTTGAGATATCGCTGGGCATATCACTGGTCATGAAATGTGAAAAAAGGGAATAAAATGGATGCACTTAAGTATTTTGCTAAATAGGTTCAAGTTCAATAATGTCCCGACACACCACACGGAGCTTTAACAACAGGTCAGTAAAGTGCCCCTGCCCATGGTGGGCAGCAGTGCCTCTGCTTCTGGGCACATCTGCACACACCCATCCTATGGTGTCAAACAAACCTGGGCTGGGAGTGTGGCTCAGTGGTAGAACACCTGCCTAGAGTGAGTGAGACCCTGGGTTCGACCCCCAGTATTGCAGAATCCCTAAATGAAAAAACAAAAACAACATTCCAAACTGTGTGGCCTCCAGTCTCTGCCTCTTGACAGGGCTAGGGAGTGGGAGGTATGGCAGCTGTCCAGGGAGCCTCCCGTCCCTCTTCTGTAAGGGAGGGGCCAGAGGCAGGAGGCCTGCAGGGGAGGAGTGCTCTGGCTGCCTCAGTCAGGGCTTTGTTTTTCCTTCTTGATTTTCTCTTCCCTGTTATTACCCTTGACTCAAACCTTATTTTTCTTTTCCATAACCTTGCAAAAGGGCATTTAAATGGCATGTAGGATGAGGAGTTTCACTAGTAAAAGGGAAAAACATTAAGGGGAGAAAAACCTTTGTAATGGTTTCTTCTAGGAGAACAGGGTCACAGACCAATAGGCCTCTGTAAACATCAAAGGCCATGCATGAAAATCACAAAATACAGACTGGACTCCCCCCCCACCCCTTAAATGTTTCTCCAAAATTCAGTTTGATGATACAGTAGATCCTTTCTGGATTAACAAAAGAAGAAGTCGTGGGCTGGGGCTGGGGCTCAGTGGTAGAGTATTTGCCTAGCATGCGTGAAGCACTGGGTTCAATCCCCAGCACCACATAAATATAAACAAATAAAATAAAGGTATTTTAAAAAATTTTAACAAAGAAGAAGTCATGAATTTGACTTTGATAGGGACTGACTTTGCAAGTGCCCTTGTAACTTGATGCAGACCCATGAGCACTGTGGAGAACCCCTGGCCAGCAGAGCTGGGTGTAACTTGGTGCTTCCTGCTACTCCTAGTTCTTACCTTTTAAATTTACAAATAGTTTTAAATTTGTAATCAGTCTTGCCATTTAGGGAATATTGTATAAACTGGGGAGGGGAAGTGGTGCATATTTCAGAATTTAAAGTTAATAGATTTTGACAAGAAGCATTCATCTGAGAATCAAACTAACAATAAAAAATCAGAAACCAGAAGAAATTAAGTCCAAATTCCCTCCTCTTCACCTCTCAGCCAACTTTCTAAACCTTCATGAAACTTGGGTGGTTGAGTTGCCTTTGGTGGGGGTATCTGGGTCCTTCCAGGGTCACACCTGACCTTGTACTCAGGATGTGGCCTCCACCTCCCTCCCAGCCTGGGCTTTGCCACCTAGCAGCTTTCTGCATTTGGGCAGTTCCCTAACCTGGGCCTCCTACTCCTCAGATATCTCAGGATGACGATAACACATACCTCAGACAGTTGTTCTGAAGAATAAATGAGAGCATTTGTAGCTCAGCACATGGCCTGCACATAAGGTGCCTTCAATAAATGGCAGCTGTTTACTATTTTAAACAAATTCCTGTGGCTACAGGAGGAGGTCTTCTGCGGGGGAGGAGGGGCAGGTAATATTCCTGACCTGGGAGCTGGTTACACAGGCATGCTCCACTTGCGAAAATTCAGCAAACTGCATCCTTTTAAGAAATGGCAGTGAAATATAAGAAAAAATGTAGGAAACATAAAATATATTCCTTGAACCATTTTAAGTGTAAAATTATGTGCCAGTGAGCACATTCACCCTGTTGTACAACTATTGACAAGTACATTGTCCATCTGTGTACTTTTCTGCATGTATATCATTAAGTAAAAAACAAACAAATGCATCCACACCTTTGTGAATGATGACAATAATAGTAATTTTTAAAAACCCTGTGGTTGGGCTGGGGATGTGGCTCAAGCCGTAGCGCGCTTGCCTGGCATGAGTGCAGCCCAGGTTCGATCCTCAGCACCACATACAAACAAAGATGTTGTGTCCGCCGAAAAGTGAAAAATAAATATTTAAAAAAAAAACCCTGTGGCTACTGGCTATGTAGACAGTGTCTTCTGATGTCCAGACAAGAGCTATTGGCCTCTCATAGAGGGACTCAGTTCTTGCTGTTGAAAGGTGGCATGTTATTAGTGTATAGTCCTGAGAACTGGGGCACATCTAAGGGAGGGGTGAGTTTTCCCAAGGAGGTCTAAAGGGAGTGTCCAGGTCTAAGGGGAGGTGTGGTGTGAGCATGGCTCCCTCTCACCTCCCCATGCTCATCTTTTGGAAAAGCTGAGGAGCCAGGCTTTAAGTCCTTCTACTACCACAAAATCCAGCTTGCTCAGAGAGCAGAGAAGATGCAAAAGTAACCAGACATGGTGGCATGGGATAAGCTCCTGGTGTACCCACCCCTTGGCCCCCAGGTGGCAATCTTTCCTAACCACTGGAGAGAGCTCATGGGAATACTTGGGGAACCTGGCTTACTGATGAGGGACACCACTATATTCTAAGGAGACTGGAATTTTCTGGAGGGCTCTCATCTGTGCACACTGCCTTGAGCTAATAGAGATAAAATTTAAAAACCCTAGGAAAATGGGACCCATATTTACTCTTGCTTATGGAAGTATTAAGGGTCAAATTTAAGAAGTAAGTGTCACTCTTAACTTTCCTCACTCCCTGCTTAACCACTGTTCCTAGGAGCCACATTTTAAAAGCCTGCCTTGTAGTCATTCACTGAGAGGGTGGAATTGTTGCTTCTTTTGCCTCACAAAGATTTTCATTATGGGGGAACGCCTCCATGGGCCCTACCCATTGGACTGTTTTGCAGTTGTGAAAACAGAAGGAACTTGTTGCTGGCCCTAAGTGAGGGCCCTGCTAGTATGACATCCGAAATGTGTAGAAAATCTCATGATAGAGAGTATGTTATGTGGGTGGCCAAGTCATGTGCCAACCATTTGAGAGAGAAGTGCCAGGGACAGTGGAAGTTAATGCTGCTGCTTCTACAACCTTTTTCTTTTTCTTTTTTTTTTTTCCTACCAGGAATTGAATCCAGGGACACTCAGCCACTAAGCCACACCTCCAGACCTTTTTTTGTATTTTATTTAGAGACAGGGTATTGCTGATTTGCTTAGGGTCTTGCTAAATTGCTAAGGCTGGCTTTGAACTTGCCATCCTCCTGTCTCAGTTTCCCAAGCTGCTGGGGTTATAGATGTGCACTGTGGTGCCTGACCTTCAACCTTTAAACTAAAACCCACACCCCAAACCGTGGACTGTGCTACTCTCGCATCTTCTTGAACATACATGGGAGCTGGTTACACAGGCATGCTCCATTTGTGAAAATTTAGCAAACTGCATGCTTTTAAAAAATGGTGGTGAAATATAAGAAAAAATGTAGGAAATATAAACATAGTGCATTATATAGCATTAAACTGTGCCTTCAGCTCTTTTCTCAAATTACATAGCTTTGAACTAGTGAATTTCTCAGTCATTCTTTTTACCTTTTTTGGCACTTGACAAGGCACAGGCTGCACATGAGAGCCCTTTCCCAATCTGAAAGGCATACATGCTTTCCCCTTTCATCCCCAACTTACGAGCTGTTCAATATTTGAAATTTTTCTCCTTTGTGAAAACTCAGGTCATCTTCTGTCCGTGCTTCATAGTCATAAAGAGCCACAAATAGTGTCACTCCTGATAAAAGAAGGAGAGAGATCATTACACAAGGGGACATTAATGCTAAAAAAATTAAGTCTTTGCTCAAATCTCATTCTCAAAATCTACCTTTAGTCAGTCCCAATAATGTGATGAAGTGTTATAATTAATGTGAGAAAACCAGAGGCACAGGATCAAATTTATGCCTTGGTTGTTGTAAGGGATCATTATCTGATGTGACAAAAAACTGGAGCTGGAGGACTTCTCTCTGCATACCTTTGAATGAGCCCTGGGGAAGAGACAGATACTAACATCATGTCCAAGGGCAGCAGCAGCATTATGGTTCAGATGAGCAGGACTCTGCAGCAAGGGCTGGCACTGTTTCTCTCATGCACATTCTCCTCTATTTGGGAGCCCAAGTCAAGTCTGGGTAAACTGGGTCACTCTTTACCATGGCATAATAGTCATGGGTAAACTGGGTCACTCTTTACCATGGCATAATAGTCATGTAGAGTGTAACAGAAAACTCTTTCTGTGGCTTAGGTTCTGTAATGCTCACTCCAATGAGGGGTACACTGCCCTTGGCATCTGCAATTGCTTTTGTAGATTTGAGCTGCCTGGCCCCACTGCTGATACTCCCCACTCTCTCCCTGGCCTCCTCCTTCCTTGCACTCTCCTCTCCTCCCACGGTCTTATAGTACTCACCCATTCTATGTCTTCTCATCTAGAGGCTCCCCAAAGAGGCCCATTCTGCCTTGCAGAAGTTTATTAACAACAGCAAAAATTGTCCAGACTCCCACTGGCCCATGACTTACTTTATACCATAGGCAGAGTTCTAAGGTGGCTCTTAATGGCTCCTGCCACTGGTACTCACTGGCTCTCAATGGCTCCTGCCACAGGTACTCATGCCCTCGTGCTATCCCTGTCCCTTGAGTGTGGACTGAACCTACTGACTTGCTTCTAACCAAGAGAATGCCCAAAGGTGATGGGATGCCCTTTAAATGATGAGGGTTGAGAAGATGGTGACACCATCTTCCTAGAAGACTCTCTTTCTATATCAGCTTAGACACTTTGATGAAGCCAGGTGCCATGTTGGCAAGACCATGTTGACAAAGAACTGGCTAGCAGCCGGAGAACAGAACCTGCCAATAACCACACACATGAATTCAGAAGCAGATCATTTTCAGGTGAACTGTGGGCTGACTACAGCCTGGCCAGCACACTCTGACTGCAGCTGGGGGGATCCTCAGGCAGGGGGCTCTGGTAAATTATTCCTGGATCCTGATCCACAAGAACCGTGAGATAATGAATGCATATTATGATAAGCTACTAAATTTTGTGATAATTTTACTAAAGAATTGATAACTTAAAACATTTCATTTCTCTGAGACCTGTTTTCTCATTTGGATCTCCACACACTTCAAAGTGCCTGCTATGGCCTGATGGCATATTCCTTGCTCTTTTACCAAGCTGCCATGTTGCTGTGTAGGTAGTTCCAAGGGAACAGATGTGTCCATGAGACTTATAAGAGTCAGAGAGAGTGGAAGGACTTATCTTTCCACCCCATCCCAAGTGAGACTAACTGCTGGAGAGTCGGTACTCAGATGGCCTGACCATATAGAGAAGGGCTTACTGGGCAACTGGTTTCTTTGTTCTGATGACTTTAAAAGGTTAGAAAAGAGAATGGCTTGGGGGCTTTGGATGTAGCTCAGTGGTAAAGTGCTTGCCGAGAAAAGAGAGTGGCTTCAAACAAATATGTGGGTGCCTCTAAGTTCATGCTTATTCTTATTTAATACTCTACTAACAGATTCTCTTTAGTATATATTTAAAAACAGAGCCAAGATCATACTACAGTGATACATGAAGACCCATATTTATAGTAGCACAGTACACAACAGCCAAACTATGGAACCAGCCTAGGTGTCTATCAACGGATGAATGGGTAAAAAAAATGTAGTGTATATACCCACTAGAGCAAAATGAAATTATGTCATTTGCAGGAAAATAGATGAAACTAGAGACAATTATGTTAAGCAAAATAAATCAAATTTAGAAGGTCAGGAGACATATGTTTTCTCATATGCAAAAGTTAGAGAGGAAAGAGAAAAAGAAAGATGGGGGTGGATCTCATGGAAATCAAAGGGAGATCAATGGAGGAAAGAGACCAAGGGGTGGGAGGGCAGGAGGAAGGAGGGAAGCGCTGGGGGTAGATATTGGACAAATTATATTGTTATATTGTGTGCATGTATGACTATGTAACAACAGATCCCATGTACAACTATAATGCAGAAATTAAAACACAAAGGGAAAAACAACAACAACAGACCCAAGCCATTCTGCTGTGTGGAAGCCAAAGAAGGCCCATGGAGATGGACCCTCCCACTCTCTCCTTGCATCAGTTGACAAGTTCTTACTGAGGGTTTTTAATATCCTAGGGACTGAGGAGGGAATTGAAGGAGGTTACTGAGAAATGCTGTTCTTGGCCTTAAGGGACTAAAAGTAGCACTGGGAGAAAGGACTGCACAACCAATTAATACAAGGCAGGAAAATCTGCCACGTCTGGGGATAAGAGATCAGATGGCCTCTTAGACTAAGGTCGTCCCTGACTGCAGTGCACACGTACATATGAGAAGCAAGTAACCCTTTCTTGTGCACTTAATGGTACCTGCAGACTAAGGGGTTCATGTCCAGATTCATAAATGAGTGTTCAGGGATGGTGCCTGTGTTGGCAGAATTAAGTCTGTACTGGCAAAGCACTCATGCTTCTTACAGCAGAGGTGTGTTATGTGTCTTTCTGTCTATGTGTCTGTCTGTCGGTCTGTACATGCTGGGTGCAGTTTTGACTCTTCTTTTCTTCTGCATCCTCAAAAGACTTAGGGCTTTAGACTGCCAGTCCACGACTCTTCCCTTCTTTCTAGAGACTTTCTGGGAAGACAGGAGGGATGGGTGAGTGTACCACACAAGGCTTGAAGGAAAGGGAAAGCTAGAGTCACTGCAGTACAGGGGTGAACATAGATGTTTTTCTGTTGGGCAGAGTATCACATGCTAGTGCAAGAGAAGTAGACACTGTCCAAAGGCTTTGGGTCAGTTGCCCTGAAATAACTACACTACCACATATTGGGTGCAGTGGGGTGGGGTAGGAGAGAAGCCCTGCTAATGCCTTGTTAGTGGAAACTCCCCTGATAAAAAAGCACAATGAGTCATCATATAAGGCAAAGACATCTGCTCCCAGATGAGCTGGGAGATGCTGCATTCTTTTAAACTTCTGTAATAAAACAATTTTGGAACAAATAATGTCATGTATCTAGTTACCATAGTTCATATACTGGGAAAAGATCTGGAAGGCTAAGGATGCATGAGATAACTTACAAATATTTTGGAAAACATATGTTTGAGAATGTGAGCCAGATATTTTACAAAGTATTAGCTAAGTCAGCAAGTACACATGGCAGTATCATATAGCTGTGTGATGTGAAAGACAAAGAAACTTAAGAGAGAGAGAGAGAGAGGGTGGGGGAGAAAGAGAGAATTGTCTCTTAAGGATACATAAAGCTTGTCTTTAAAACACACACACACAAACCACAGAATAAAAAATACATGGAAAAACTTGAGGATTGATAATCTCAGTCATACAGAAGATAATGGAAATATCATAGAATTGAGATGAATGATCAAATATCATGCTGCCAAATGACCCCCAACTGCCCAGGAAATGACAGGCAAGCTGGAGATCAGGAAGATGAGGAAGAAAGTGCATCCCACCAGAAGCGGTAGAGGGAGGTGGGAGGAAGTGGATTCATTTCTGGAGAATTCAAGATACACACAGACACACTCCTGGAGTTTCTGATTCCCAAGATCTGGGGTGGCGCTTAGGCAACTGTACTATGAAAAAGCTTCCCTGGCTCTTCTGGGCTAGCCAGGGTTGACAGCCCTTGGCTACAGGGCCTAGAATGCCAAAGCTCACTAACTCACTCATGCAGAATCCTACAGAGCAGCAACATGGGATCCCCCGCCCTCCGGTAATCAGGCACTTTGATGTGTACATCAAGCTTTGGTTTTTTAATAACAGCTCTTAATCTGGTAGAGGGTAGGTGGAAACTGACCTGAGTCTTCAGTGTTAGTCCAATGGAGCTGACTGGGACATGTATGTTCAGTTGCCAAAAGAATTAAGGACAGCTGTCCCTCTCACTCCCAGTAGGTGCTTACCTGTTCCTCCTCTCGTACGCAAGGTCCCAGTGTGAGACGAAGAGTTCACACCCCCAAAGACAGTGAGTCCTTGGCCTCCGGCTGCGTGGAAGTTGTTGTAGTTGGGGATGGAGGTCACGCCGAAGCTGGGGTAGTGCTGAGGAGTGGGGTCTGTGCCATAGCGGTACCCGGAGCTCTGGTTCAGGCTGCCATCCCTCTCCTCTGTCAGTTTTGTTGCTTCTTTATCCTTACATTGCACACAGCCCATTATCTAAATTCCTGGAAAAAAAAAACAGGAAGGAGATGCATGAACTTGGATGCTCCTTCGTTGCTGGGTTGCTTTAATGCCACAGAGGAATAATTTATCAACCTCGTCCTTGGATATTTTAGGCCTATGGAGGACATGAAGAAAAGCAGTAGCTGGGATTGATGGTGAGTGGGAATCTCAGTCCCTAATTCACAATCTCACTTGTTCCCCATGTCCCCTGGAAGACAGGATCAGCACAGGGATGGTGTTCACCATGTAGCAATCTTCCTCAAATGAGGCCTGCACACCTCAAATTCTGTAATATTACACACAAATGATTCTCATTATGCTTTTCTCAGGTTATCTTTAAAATAATGCATGCTCCATAAACAATTCTAGAATAAAAACTTCCATCATGGCAAAGAAAATTGTAAAGAGGGCCTGGGTGTACTGGAAAAGCCAGAATAGGGTCCCTAAAACTCACCAGACCTCTTCACTCACAGGTACCCATTCTTCAAGCACAAAAGGATAACAAGAATCAAAATGAAGAACTAGTTACTGAATGGGAAATAAAATTGCCAGAACCTAAGAGGCCTAAGATAGCCCTCAGTAATACAATCATTTAAAGCTGCTAATTAACTTTTCAAATTTCCATTAGCTTTTGACATTCTTCAAAAATATTAAAAAAAAAAAAACTCACTCCTATGTTCTAGAGCTAGTGGTGAATTAAAAACTTGAGTCACTGCCATCCCACCCGCCTCAAACCCATTTCTCCAAGCATCCCCATCCTAGGAAATGGTACTTCCAAAGACCAGCTTGCTCAAGTCAGAATCTGGAGAAGCATCCTTGTTCCTTCCTCCTTGTTTATTGTTGCTCTTCCTGTCTCACATGCTTCTATTCAAACATGACTAATATTTCAGTTCCTCAAAGATTCCATTCTTTCCCCCCACTTACCTTCAGGCCTCAGAACTCGGCCTTGAACACTCTTTCTCCCTCCTCTTGGATATGCAGGGAATCTTTTATTCCCAGTAAATGCATCACTTCCTCTGCATAACCTTCTCTGACCCCCCCCCCTTCCCCCAGGCTAGGATAGTGTTTTTCCTAAGTGCTCCCATGGCGTCTTCATTTCCCTCATCATGGCACCTATAGTGTGATATTAAAATATGGCCTGTTCAGTTGTTCCATTGCCCAGTGGACTGCCAGTTCCAGGAAAGCAGGGCCCTGTCCATTCCCCTCATTGCTATATTGCCAGTGCCTGGCACACAGTACATGCTCAATGAATCATAACCAAATAAGTAAAGATTCTGTAGCTCATTATATTTCTCTTTCACTTTTTGCCTCAAGGCCAATCCTTCTTACAGTGACTTATCAGCAGTGTGCCCTACATTTTCTAACTTACTGGCATGTATGTGAGAAGTGAAGAAAATTCCAAAAAATAAAGTAAGGTGGTTAAATGGTCCACTTCGAACTGTAGACAGATGGGTAGGTAGAAATTGCAGTGAATGTCCTTGCGAAAACTCCGAGAAGCAGCCCATTTGGGACCACAGAGTCGAATGAGAAATGCATGACATCATGTGTAATAACATGCAGCCACTGGGGAGGGCAGAGCTGGCACAGGACAGGAAAAAATGGGGGGCTATGAAGTTTTTTTTTATTTTATCTTGCAAACCAATGTGGGGGCTGCCACATAGGACGGGGAGATTCCCAAGGGCACCATTCTGAGCACTACTGTTCTGCTGGAGCGGGTCACAGAAGCAAATGTTAGATCATTCTGAAGCCCTCGCAAAGTACAAGTTTCAATAAATACTTATTAAATCGAGAGTCAGTTCTTGAGAATGGGAATGTTTGCAAATGAGCCGCCTACTGCTGGAGCTGAGGTCACCAAATCTGGAACATATTTCCTAATAAATCATTTGAGATTAACTTATAGTCTACTGTGTCCAACATGCTTTTTAACTTACGGTAAATGAATGATTTTAACAAGTTTTCAACAGGAAATGCAAAATATCTCCAAGGCATGATTTACTGAAGGCCTTCCATCTTTTGTTGTTGATATTGCTTCATCGGACTGATAAATAGCTTGCTCACTCTATATTAACTCTTTCATGGTGGAAAGTTGCTTTAAGCTTCTACAAAGACCAGACAGAAACCATTCTTATCTCAAATGCTCCCCCACCCCCAGGGATTTCATTGACCTGTAATTAGAGGGTGTAAACCTGAATTCCACAATCATATCATCTACATCATGGTTCCCCATCAAGGGACATTTAGGCACTGTCTGGAGATATTTTTGGCTGTCATGATACAGGGTGGAAGGGTAGCACTGGCACTCAGTGGGCAGAGGCTAGGCATGCTGCTAAACATCCTACAATACATAGAACAGTTTCTCACAACAAATCATTACCTGTAACAATCCCTGAATGTGAACAGCATTTAAGGTTGAGAAATCCTGATTTACAGAGAGGAAAGAATTTATACCTACATAGTTGAAATAGTATAATAACCACTTCCCTTACATGCCTGTGATTAACATGTAACCCAGAAGGCTTTCCTTTGGAAAATGGAGGCAGTCTAAAAAATTGACATGAAAGGCTCTGATTTTTCTCTGGAAGTTTGTTCACCATGATAGAGAAACAGAACCTAAAACTAATAAGACCTCTTATTACAAACTAGTCTTCCAACTCCAGCCAAATAAAACAAACACTACATTGGAAACCCTGCAGAAAATAGGACCTCACATCTGATCAAACTAAGAAGATAATCTTCCAAAATCCACTGAAAAAAAAAAGTAATACATTGTAATAAATGACCGACAGCTTATATATAATTTTATGAAATAATAAAGGGGAAAAATCATCAACCCCTTGAAGGCAGAGATTATTTTGTGGTTTTTGTTTCACAGATGTATCCTTAGTGCCCAGAATATTGCTGGGCACACAGAAGTAATCAATAAATGTTTGTTTAGTGAATTAAAAAAAAAAACAAAACCTCAACCAAAATAATTTTAGAGAAAACAATCCCCTTTTATACTAGGAATAGCATTTCATGCATCCAAAATTTTGAATTAAGTAATGTTTCTACACTGATCTTGCTTAATCTCATCTTTATTGACACACATGAAGAAACATAAATAAGCCAGTAAAGACAAGCTCAAGTCATTAAAAGTTAATCACAATGAAAATATTTGCATAAGAATTTGTGGTCTTCTTCCTCCCACATGGGGCGGTCAGACTAACCATTTCCTATGGAAGAGTCAGAGGGAAGTGCTGAGTTGTACTCCACGTGATAAGGCTCCTTGCCATGAGGCAAACTCTGGGCTTTGGGGGTTACAGTAAGGCTTCTGTTATTATGTAAATTATGTGCTGTAGCTTTTATGTCCAATGCTGTTAAGTCCGTTGTCAACACAGAATGTACTAATATGCTGGCTCTAGACCTGTCGATTACTGGGAAACACTGAATAATACCAATCTGGAAATGGGGCCCTAGAGTTTCTCTGAGTAGTAAAATATCACCTAATCTCATGGCTGGAGTCGTCTACATGCTGTCATCCTTAGACAAGTCAGTGGAAGAGCATTTCTATGTACCTGTGGTCAAGGTATCTCGATTATGGCTATGAGGCCTCTATTCTTCAACCCTTTTTCCAACTGAGGGGCCCTGCTTCTACTATGAAAATAAAATATAAAATCTTCCTTAGTTCTGTGGATCTTTTCCAACAGCCTTATGCAACGAGGGAAGAGTTGTCTGACTCAGAATTTAAGGATGGCCATATCCTACTCCCATGAGCATGGCAGATGTTATCAACCAATCACAGCACTTGCTGTAGCTATGTCTTGGTTGGCCTCTACACCCTTCTGAAAGCTCTCTAGGGGTCAGGTGAAACTGATCTGGAGGGTTGGATCTATTTGCTACCATAGGAACAGGGTCTTCTGACCCGAGGTCAGTTGTACACATACTCATTCCTATTGAAGGCCTTAGACTGCAGTCTAGTCTGCCAGATGTACATTAAACACGGATAGCGCTCATATTTCCTAATACATGGATCAAGAGTAATGCCTGTATGCTCCAGTTCCCATGTCGCAGGACTTGTGAGGTCTTAGGTGTATACTTGAGTTGGGTACTAAAAAGGGGAAAAGGCCACTGGCAGTCTTTTGCACAAGCAGAACACCTTCTCTTAAGACACATACACATGTAGGCAGAGGAGTAGCAGGAGGAAACGTGAAACTGACAGGTAACTGTGATTTTGGCAGTGTTAAGTGCTTATGCTCAGAAACCAACCAGATGGGTGTGGAAGAGTGACAGTCCTTAGGATAACTCTCCATCCCGCTCCTGACAGCCCAGGGGATAGAGCAGGCTTTGGAGAATGACGGGCAAAGCAACGCATTGCCAATACTCTAAGGTGGCATGCTCCACGTTCTCATCCTCTAATCCTTTGGTTCTGTTCTATCCCTTTACTGGGAAAGTATTAAAAATGAAAATAAAAGAACAAGGAAAGGGAGTAAATTAAGAACCCAGAAACAAACTCAAGGAAGTGAGATGAGCACCACTGAAAGAAGAATTTAAAGCTGTTGTTGATCAACTGCAGTTTCATAGACTTCTCTGGGAGAAAGGCAAAAGCTGGCAGCTTCCTGAGCAAATACCATTTTCAGTCAGCAACAGTGGCAAGAGTAAAGGATAAGATGTGGCAGAGGCACATCAGAAATCAGCTGACTCCAGGACAGAAGGTTCATGGCAGGGCGCTATTGATCCTTATAAAATTGGTGACATCCACAAGAACTGACCTGGAGTATTTTGCTATATTCTTAGTGGAGAAAGTTAATCCCTGAGAGTTTAGGGAATCTTTCCTGAGTTCTTATGATGTAACTTGTTGGGAGCAGGATATTCAGAGATGGCTGGACACCATGCTGATAGCAAGGAGTTGGGCCCCAGGACCTGCCACTTAAATTTCCAGATTTCCTAGCATCTTTCAATCCTTTGCAATGGGACTTTCCTCCTTTGTAGGACATGGGGCCCCTGATCCTGACAGCCTATAAAT